CCCCTCACCCTGAGACACTTGCGTTTTCAGCCCCTATCTGACACTCTCAGCTGTTCTGTTTTGAATACAGTGCCACCTTGTATTTGCTTTCCAAGCAGTTTCCCAGGGGTCCATTCACTCACCCTCATCGCATTCCTGAGTGGTCGGAGGGAGGGTTTGGGTGTAGTCGGCCCATTTCACTAGTGCAAAGCCAAGTGCCATCCTCACGCCTGGTCCCCAAGGTGGGCCTGAGCAGCACAAGGTCTGGACAGTCATGGCCCTGGCATATGGGGCCTGTAATCTTCTCCATGATGGGTCGCCTCACCCGAAGCCACTGCCTCTGGGGAACCCGTGGAAGGTCTGATCCCAACAGAGTCTCCCAGAGGGACCTTGGGAGGGCAGAGCTGACCTGCCCCCTCCGCTCACTCCCTTCCATGTCTGTTCACTCCCTTCCTCATCTGCTTTCTTTCTCAGCATTTCTCACTCTGTACAGATAGGGACTGCTTTGGAATCTCTTTGCTCTCAAAGGCATCTTTTCTTTGTGGATGCATCAGAGTGTGGGAGTAATTCGGCCCCACAGAAAGGAGTGTTCACTGCCTGATGCCATGTATTAGGTGTAGCCTCTAAGTCAGTGGTTCTCAACTTTCCTAATGCCGCGACCCTTTAATACAGTTCCTCATGTTGTGGTGACCCCCAACCATAAAATTATTTTCGTTGCTACTTCATAATTGTAATTTTGCTACTGTTATGAATCTTAATGTAAATATCTGATATGTGGGATATATTTAGGTGAACCCTGTGAAAGAGTCGTTCGACCCCAAAGGGGTCGTGACCCACAGTTTGAGAACCGCTGCTCTAAGTAGTTTGCCTGTGACTTCTTGAGTTTTCATTTTAGCCAGAATTTGTAATTATTGTTGGAGAGTGAGGATGGGTTGTAGTGGTTGTTAGGGGGGAAAAACCTATCCAGATGAAAGAGGCACAAAGATTTGGGGGTGCTGATAATGTTCTTTCTGTAGCTTGATTTCTGAGTGGTAGTTATGTAACTTAAACTGATAAAATTTATTCAAGCTGTATACTTATGATTTCAAACTTCATTATATGAATCTTACACCTAAAACAAAACAAAACAAAAACTCCTAAGTCACACTGCCCCAGAGTGATCACTGTTCAATCAGTGATTAGACATGTTACAAGCTCCCAGACCACCTGTGTCCTTTCCACCTCCACTTACCAAACATCACAGTGTCCCCTGGTTCTCCTTTCCTCGTGGACACCAATTTTTTCTCTGATATGCATCCTAATTTCATAACATAAGTATCATAAATAACAACCGCTTCCATGCATCCTTAGATACTAAAATGGAGAACCAAGGAATTGCCCCCCGGGTGTCTGCATTCAGGGGGCAGGCAGGCTGTGGGAGATACTTGAGAGGAGAGAGGAAGGGAGGCGGAGAGGAGGGGACTGAAGGAGGGAGAGAGGCAAGGAGGATCAGAAAATCAGTAGTTTCTCTTTTATTTACTCGCCAGCTGGGAACAGGCTTGCTCCTAAGACGCACACTAAGCAACAAAACACTGTTGGAGGAAGCTCCTGGTCTGTGTTCCCTCTGCACAAAGCCGGGGTGGAATCTATTTTCCACAGCAACACAGAGTTAGTATCTGGGACCCACAAATGCTTTCCTGTCAGGTGCACTTGAATCCGGTTCATGCCAGGCCCCTCCCCTCTTTGACCGGCTTTTTGCTTTCATCGAGCTCAGGTCACATCAGAACAGGTTCAAAAATATATGACCCTTGATCATGATCAGAGAGTTAATTACAAGGGACTTAAAGGGTTTAATATCCTTGCCCTAACCAGTTTGGCTCAGTGGAGAGAGTGTCGGCCTGCAGACTGAAAAAAAATCAATAAAATATATTTTTATAAAAATAATTAAAAATATAAATAAATAAAGGGTTTAATATCCACTGGGTTGTTTTTGCTTAAAATGACCTGTGTTTAAAATCTATACTAATGAAAGGATAATATGCTAATTAGACTGGATGTCCTTCCAGACAAAGCCACAGTGCCAGAGGCTGAATCAGGCCAGCAGGGGAGCAGTTAGGGGCATCTGGCTGGCAGGCAGAGGTTGTTAGGGGCAATCAAGCAGGCAAGCAGGCAAGCGGTTAGGTGCCAGCGGTCCACGATTGTGAGAAGGATGTCACTGAAAGAGTCCTGGATTAGTGAGGGTGCAGGCCGGGCTGAGACCTGACCCCCCCCACCCCCCACCGTGCACAAATTTTGTGCACCAGGCCTCTAGTATTTAAATAAAAGCCAAGCAAATAGGAATTGGAATAAAGCACCGACTTGCACCAATAAAGCACCAATAGTTACTAAGATTCCTATTGCGATGGTCTCTGTAAGTGGGTTTTTAGTGGCACCCCTTTGTTCCTGCCCAGGGAGCATCTCCAAATATTTGAATCCGTGTGGATGCAGCCTCCCCATCCTCTCTGCACCACTCAGGGGGGGGGCAAAGGGCCATTACTCCTCCCCATCAGCAGCAGGCAGTGGGCAGATGTGCCTGGCCGGCCTTCCCCAGGGCTCACTCCGGTTCTGCACATACTGGTTCCCTGGGTGGGTGGGCAGCACAGTGTCCCAGGCACGGCAGGGAGAGTCAGGGAGAAGCGGCTCAGCGTGTCCCGGGGAAACCTAGGTTTTCAGGTTCAAAAGCCTCTGAGGAATAGCTAAAAGGAAGGACATCTAAGGAACAGAACGGTGTGGTCTGGAAAGCTTGAGATTGGCCTCATTTAGCTGCTGGAAGAGCAGGAGGCGCATGGGGAGGAGCAATCCTGGCAGGTGGAGGCCCTGTCTAAAGGACTTTTCCTCGAGGGTGTTGAGCCCTGAGTGTGCGCTGCCGAGGCACCCATGCCCAGGTATCCGCCTCGGGCATCGTGCGCTGCTTCTCAGTGCCTGGGCAGACATTCCCCACTGAGGCACCACAGCCCTTTGACTGACTTCCTCTGGGAGAGCTGGGCAGCCTGCTGGGCAGCCAGACCAGGTTGTGGGTCAGGGAAACAGTGTGGACATCCTTGGACAAGCTAACCAACCTCTCCAAGCCTCTGCCTCCTCTCCCATGAAATGACAGTAAATAGATCCATCCTGCAGGGCGAGAGCGGGGGTGCCCTGGAGACGCTTTATCTGACCTCTCTCGCTCGGTGCCTGGTTCTCGGTAGCTGCTCAGAGTTACCTTGTTTCTTTCTTAATTTCCTCTGGATTACTTGTCCCGTTTTATATGCAAGGTAATGATCTTGGGGAAGGTAAGCCACCTCCTGCAGGGTCACACACAGCAAAGGAGTGGCAGCACCCAGTCCTTGAACCTCAAGTCTGCCTGACTCCAGCCCATGTGCTCCCCCTCATTGTGCCCCGGGCCTCCCCCCCCTGCCCCCTGCCTTCGCTGCTCAGCCCCACCTTGGTTCCCCCCTGTCAGTCTGAGGATCGGCCTCCCCGCTGTGGGCCCTGGGTCACGAACTCTCCAGTCTTCAGGCCTCTCCCCTCTCCTGTATGGCTGTTTCCCCACCTGGATGTTGAGTGACTAAATGGACTTCCAGGTAGGGGCCATAGGAAAATCCTTCCAACATTAGGTGCCATTTGAGATGGGAACAGCTGACAAAGGCATCGAGAAGTTGGGGCCGGGGCTGGGGTGGGGTTAGGGGTGGGGATACAGCTGGCTTGTGTTGGAAGCCTTGGGAACAGAAAGGCTGGGGCCGTTTCATCTTTTGATCCCTAGTGGAGCCACCAGACGGTCTGGCGTGTGGCTCAGGGAGGGCTTGCTAAGCAGATAGGAACTTGAAGGCAGCAGCGTCCCCGGCAGACACCCAGTGTGCAGAGCAGTGTGGGGGAGGCTGCCGCCAGGCCCCAGTTGTGAGGGTGTGGTGATGGGGTGATCGTTCTTTACAGAGGGGGACTCTAGCCACAGCCCTGAGCCAGGGCGACGAGCACTCTCTGTGCCACTGGCGGAATCGGGGTTCTGGAGGGTCCAACCCGAGAGGCTAGGCCGGAGCTTCTCAGGGGTCGGGGCGGGGGAACAACCAGCGAGCCAGGATGGGAAGAGAATCCACTGTGTGCTGGGATGGTGTTAGGAGCCGCTGGGCAAGCAGAAAGGCCTCGTGTCCTTGGGCGTATCCTCCAGGAAGGCAGCGTGGCATAAAGGCACAAAACGTGGACTCCGTGGCATCAATCCTTGCACCTCCACTTCCTCACCGTGTCATCTTGGACACGTTTCCACTCTGTGCCTCAATTGTCCTATGTCAAGTTGAGACCGAACTGTAACTTCCTCAGAGATTTTTGGTGAGGATTAAATTAAATGACACATATAAAGCACTTTAGCCCAGTGCCCAACACACAGTACATGCTTAATAAAATGTGTTGTTCCTATTACTGCTACAATTTTATTAGGGGAAATAAGGCATAGGAATGACTATTAAAAGGACGAATGCAGAACCCCAGGATGTGGTACATGCTAAGCTTTCGGTACCTCTTAGAATATATTGGAAAGTGTTACAATGTATCTGAACAAGAGAGCAATGATTTCTACTTGACGTTGGTCATTGTAGTATTCCCAGTGCCCCAGAGCTTGCCTGGGAGGGAGTGGCCCCGGACAAACATTTTAGGTGAATGCTTCCTGAGCCACACTTTCATGCCTGGGGTCTTTGCTCATGCTCTTCCCTCTGTCAGGCATGCTCTTCCCTAAACTCTTCTCTTAGCAAATTTTTTTTCATTCTTTAGGGCACTTCTTCAGACAGGCCTTACCTGAACATTGTCCCTGCTCTTATAATCTAAATTACGACAATGCCTGTATTTCTCTCTCAGACACCTTGTCCTTATAACAGCCTTCATAATTCACAACTAGTCATTTGCTTGTGTTTATTTGTGCAATCTCTGCCTTTTTTGCTGGGTTGTACGCTCCAGGAGTGTGGAACCAGTCTTACCCACAGATCCTCAGGCCCTGCGTGGTGGGTGCCTGCAAGCAGCGGGCACTGAGATCCTGGTTGAATGGGTATCCTGGAATTGTTCCGAGGAAGGAGCGCGGGGGGGGGACAGGGCATGCGTAGCTTTTGCTTCCACACATCTATAAAACTGAGATGAAGACAGCGCTCCTTACCTACTTACCCTACTAGACCAGGTAGTCGCCGGGATCAGATGACACCATTTTGTTACAGCGTTCAGTGGCTTGGAAGGCCTGTATTCTCCTGTTCCCGCATTTCCTCACCCAGCCTCCTGGGAGCTCCTGCTCTGTGCTCAGGGCGGGAAGTCTCCCCCTGTCCCTCGCCACAGTGGGGTGAGGGGCTCCCCACAGATGGGGAGGTTTTCGCCCTCCTCATGTCTCTGGTGCCTGGTACCAGCAGCAGGAACTCAGTATGTGCTGAGGAATGACTGAACGCACTCCTCATGTGGCTGTCGTGGATGAGTGGAATTCATAGGGTGTGAAGGGGTTGAGAGAGAGGAGTCTGTGGTGGTGATGGAGATACGATTGAGCATGGGCTGCTCGTCTGTATTTACACTTTATCCCTCCCAGCCAGTGTATTTTGTGGAGGAAGGTGTACTCGTGGATCCCAGGCATTAGGCCAGATTCTAGCCAGGTGATCATATTGATTTCCTGCCTTGCTGATGGTGCCCACTCTCTGGAACTTCTGTCTTAGTGTGGCCCCCCTTAAAGTGTGGCTGACCTCCCGTCCCCATTCTCTGCATGGCTTCTCCCACCAGCATCTCCTTGGCCTGACCCCACCCTGAGGGAGGCCCCCAAGGCGATCTGGTTAGCCCCTGCCTTTTCACCCAGTGAATCATTGACATCACACTTCTGCCCCCTCCTGGGTTCCATGGCCAGCAGGTCAGGGCTCTTCCAAAGAAAGCTGGCAAATCATATCCCTGGTCTGAGCAGAATCCCACAGGAGGAGCAAGGCGATGGGGCACAGACACGGAGCTGGGGTAGGAGCAGGCACCACTGGCTGTGAGCTTGGGGAGAATGGCTTTGGAAGATGTGTTTCCTCTCAGCCCCTCTCCCTCCCTGTAGAAGTAGCAACCACCCTCGCCTGCTCGCTCACTGGCTCGGAGTGTTAGGCAGGCAGGCGCTGCGCGAGCTTCAAAGCTCTCACTGCCAGGGGAGTGATAGGGAGCCGGCAGAACAAAGGGAAACGGCCAGGAGGCTGGATGCTGGCTAGAGATCAGGCTGCCGAGTGAGAGGAGGTCTGTCGCCAAGTGGCAGAGTTGGTGGCTGAATTCTCGCCACAT